ACTCCCTTCAGCGATGGGCACACGGCTAGGAGCAAAGGCTCTTGAGAGAGTGTGCAAACCTTGCTTCACCACGGGCCAGCCAGGGGGCCTGAGACCCGCTTCCTGACCTCCTGACCTCAGCCTCCTCAAAAACGGGAGACACCGCCACAAGACCTATGACACAGTGCCCCAGCACGCTGATGACACATGCTGTTCTCTGAGTGGTCACTATTGCTGAAGTGCACGGCAGGAAGTTAAACAGCTGCAAAACTTTATGGCTGTACTTAATACGGTAGCCTTTAGAAGAGTTATCCATACAGACTATTTTTAAGTTCAATAAAACTAATAACAAAAGCTTTTATATACACATCTTTGTATGTTCAAGGCTTTGCCTTTCCTTATGAACTTCTGGGCAGTCCAAAGGATAGAAACAGTTTTATTATTTTAAATGGTGATATTATATTTGTCGTTTTTGTTAAAAAAAACTTTTAAGAAAAATTTTTTGAGTCTTTGTGCTGTTTACTGAATCAGGCTATACATTTGAGCCTACAAGGGACTCCACCATTAATTAACAACAGCAGTGAACACCTGAGTGCGTCCTACCTGCTCCGTCACACACAGACACTCGGCAGCGCGCCGAAAGGCTGCCAAATCGAAGCCCGTCCGCATGCCTCAACCTCTGGTGTAGCCACTGAGTGTGTGGCTGACGTGCATGAAAGTACCTGCTGTAAACCAAAACCATGCAAAACCATACAACTGGGTAATCCCCAGGACCAACTCATGTTTCAACATAGTTGGTAAGTCAGTGAACACCTGAAATAAGTGAATCTTTGTCTAATGTGAGCTAAATATTGGGTTGGCCAAACAGTTCATTTAGTTGTTTTATATGAAGTCTTTAGTAGCACTTAGTTGTCTTTAACTTCATTTGAAACAATTTTGTTAGATTGTATTGTGACAGCTGTCATATCAGCATGCATTGAAAAAAACTTAACTTGGTGAATTTTTGTGCAGTCATTTTAATATTGAAGATGGAAGAAGGTATGCAACATTGTTGGCGTATTATGCTTTGTTATTTCAAGAAAGATAGGTGAAAACGCAACTGAAATGCAAAAAAAGATTTGTGCAGTGTATAGAGAAGGTGCTGTGATTGACTGAACATGTCAAAAGTGGTTTGTGAAGTTTTTCGGTGCTTCTGACATTTTAGCCAAGTAATTTCTTGCTGTGGGGCTGTCTTACGCATGGGAAGGTGTTTAGCAGGACCCCTGGCCTCTGCCCACTAGAAGCCAATAGCAGGAGATACCTAACATACTCAAAACATCCAAATCAAGGAAATGACAAAGGTGTCTTTTGTTCTACGGAAAAAACTAAACAGACTTTGTGGCCACCCCAATGGTCAGCACAAAGCAATGTAACCCGGAGCCCACAGTGCGAAGGTTGAGCGGACTCTCAGGATGGCAGTGTGTAGAACCAGGCAGGCGCACTGTGCGATGATGGGGGGGAGGGGGGAGTACCACTACTAGCACAACCAGAACACTGCCACCAGAGAACCTTTCTTACAAACGAGACACACTCCAGGGCCACGCAACTTCCTTTACTGAAGTCAACGTCCCTTCAGAAGAGGAAAAGTGTCCTTAGTGACATTCCCCAGATACATCTCACGCAGGCACAAAAGTGTGCCCGCTGAGGCCCCCGCCTGCTAGCTCGGTGGGCTGGAGCACCACCTCCATGTGCGAGGGCGCGGGTCCCAGTTGGAGAGCACATGAGGACCGACCTAAAGGAGTGAGACGACAGGTCAGTGTCTTTCTCCCCCTACCTCACTCCTTCCACGCTCTCTCTAAAGTTAATACATCAAAAATAAAAGTAAAACATAGCCCATTTGCTTAAGAAATCGTTTTTAAAATGTCATCCACTGCTAAAAAGTGAACTACAGATACTACCGTGCAAAACTATTTTGATATGGGAAAACTCTAAAATATGACTGTTTAAAAGCAGACAGTCAGAGAACTCTACTCAGGGGCAAACTGAAGACTCCTACAAAGCTTTACTGTGTCAGATGAGAACAGAGACAGCAGTATCTGTCTCATCGATTCCCACACCTGGGAGCCTGGGTGCTGCAGTGAAAACCATGTGACCCGTTCAAAGGCACCACTGGCACTGCACACTAACTGCCAATTCTCAAACTAAAATACAGGATCCGGCACAAAAGATGCACCCCCACCCCTTTAATTTTTAAAAAAATTTTATTTATTTATTTTTAGAGAAGGGAAGGGAGGGAGGGAGGGAGAGACATATCAATGTGTGGCTGCCTCTCGTGCATCCAGCACTGGGGACCTGGCTGGCAACCCAGGCATGTGTCTTGACTGGGCATCGAACTGGCGACCCTTTGGCTCACAGGCTGGGGCTCAATCCACTGAGCCACACCCCTTCCATTACAAAACGATAAGCATGCAATTCTGTAACACAGCAACATCACACTCAAGTGTACCATATGACACTTTAGGTGAACTGTTCAAATTAAAACTATGCATTATTACACCCATATTACTCTACCAACCACACTCAGGCAGGCCTCACTCCTGCCAGACCCTGTCTACTCGACCAGGGGTGTCCAACCTTCTGGCGTCTCTAGGCCACACTGGAAGAAGAGGTGTCTTGGGCCACACACTAAATACACAAACACTAACAAAAACTGACGAACAAAAAAAAGTTTTAAGTAAATGTAGATTTTGTGTGGGGAAGCATCCATAGCTATCCTGGGCCGCACGCGGCCCAGGGGCTGGCCCTGTGTTGCCACTGAACACACGTGGCTGCTGAGCAGCAGAAATGTGCTGGTCTGCACCGAGATGCGCTGTAAGAGGAAGACTCCGGCAATTCACACTGGATTCACACCGAATTTCAATGATTTAGTGCAAAATAGTAAAATATCACAGCAGCAAATGTGTCATACTGAGTATGTGTGAGAATGGGAGTATTTTTGAGGAGTTAATAAAAGATATTTTAGAATGCCACCTTCCATAGGTAGTTACTAGAAAACGTGGAGTGGAATGTGTGTGGCTCACGGGGCGTCCCTACTGGAAGGGCCGCTCTCCGAAAACCGTGATCCAGTTTTGCTGTGATGATACCGGATGGTGAGCACAAAATACGTAATAAAGGAAGGAAATCTTGTTTATATCTTGGATATGTAGTCTAAAATAGTATCAAGTTAGACTCACATGTTACTTAAACTTCTACTAAATTTACAATCAACCCCTCAACCCCGACAGTGTTAACAGAGGAAGGAGTCGATCCTACAAGTAGTATTTTTAGGGTCAAGAAGAAAGTACAAAGTTAAAGTCCCCAAAGAGGGACTAAGAGAAGTACCATCTGTTTCTAGAAGGCACTTTAAAACAAGAGCAGTGTGTTTTAAATAGCTGATAGACTATGTGTTTTTTAAAAGCCGTATCTGATCCCTTTGAGTACGGCGAAGAAATCACCCAAATGCCAGATAAGCGAGGTCCTTTGAAAAGGAAGCCCGGTGAGGCAGGGACCGGAACCTCGAACCGTATGGCAGAGAGGTAAAATCTGGCCGCCGCACCGCATGAGAAAAGCAACCAAGGCTTTTTCAGCCGAGCACTCCGATTTAAACGTCACACGACGACAGGGTCGGTCAGGACTCCGCAGACGCCCTGCAACACAGTTCATCCATCAGTCCCCGGTTTCGGGTCCGGCTAAGGCTGCTTTCAGAATCCCCCCGCCCGCCCGCCCGCCCGCCCGGGAACGCCTCCCCAGACCCGCCAGCGAGAGCGGGGCGGGGCGTCTGCCGTCGCCGCACCTCGCGGAGGCCGATGCCGGCGGGAAGAGGCACCTGCGGGGCACTCTCTCCGGCCGGCCCCTCGCGACACCTCGCCCTCTCCGACCGACCGCGGGGACGGCCCGGGGCCGCCGTCCGGCTTCCGCCCCCCCCCCCCGAACTCCCGCGGGAGCCCTCGCCCCGTCCAAGGTCGCAGGGGCTAGAAAGCCGCAGGACCAGCGCCGACTCCGAGCCTTCCGACGCCGGGCCAGCCGCTCGCGGAAAACCGAGTGCCCAGGGACACAGCCCGGCCCGCGGCCACGGCAGGGCCCGAGGCTCCGCCAGGTGAAACCCTCCGCGGCGGCGGCGGCGCGCGGGCCGGGCCGGAACCCGCTCCGCGGGGCGCGGAGGTCGCCCGGGAGGAAGTGACCCCGAAGGCCGGGGAAAGGCTAATCCCCGCGTCCGCGGGCGCCGCGGGGTTCCGGCGCTCGAGCCTCTCACCGCAGGGGCTGCGGGGCGAAAGGGCGCCTCCCTGGCTGCTGGCCACAAACGCGTTCCGGAATTTGACTCGCGCCCGGCACGCAGCTCCCAGAAGCCGGAGCCGAGCGGCGCCAGCGGCTCCAAGAGGAGGACGGCGGCCGGGCGGGCCGCAGGGGTCTCGGGCCTGGCGGGGCGCCCGCACCCGGGGGGCCGGACGAAGGCGGCGCCGGCGCGGGGAGCCCCGCCCCGCCCCCGCGCACAGCGACGGCGGCCCGCAGGCAAGGGACGGGGCGCCCGCGGCGGCGGCCGGGCGCGACCACCACGCGCGGGCCCACGCCGCCGACGCCCGGACCGCGCGCCCCGCGAACTGCAGGCGAGGTCCCCGGCGAGCGCCACGCGCCCGCGGCCTCGCGGCTCCCGCCCGCCCGGACGGACGGAAAACGAGGGGCTCCGATTTCACGCTCCGCCGCCCCTCCCGGGCAGGAAGGGCCGCGGCCGAGGGGGCGCCGGCCGGGGTGCCCGCAGCGCGGGGCGGCCCGCTCGCGTCCCCGCCCCCTCCCGGATCTCGGGCCCCCGCCCCCCGCGCGACCCGCGCTGACAGCCCGGCGCGCCCCCACCTGCCCGCCCGGGGTCGCGGGGCCCGGCGCGCCCGCCGGGCTACTTCCTTCCCCGCCCGCCCGGCCGGCCTTGCGCCGGGCCCGAGGCGAGGAGCGCGGGAGGAAGGAGGCTTGGCCGGCGGCCCGCGGAGGAAGCCGCGGCCGCCCGCACTCACCGGCATCATCGCGACGCGGGTCCGCGACGCCCTCCGCCGCCTGACAGGACGCTCGGCGCCGCGCCCGCCGCCCTCACAGGCCGCGCGCCGCCGCCGCACTCTCGGGCCCTCAGCGGCGAGGCGGCGGCTGCGGCGGGCTGCGGAGCCTGGCCGGCCTGTCGGAGCCGGCGGCGCGCTGCGGCGCTGTTCTAGGACCCGCTGCCGCCGCTGCCGCCGCCTCCGCCCGAACGCCTCCCGCGGCCCGCCTGCCCGCCCGCGGGCTCTCTCCTCAGCCCCGGTTGGCCCCGCCCCCAGCGCGTCGCCCCGCACGGGGCCATCCGCCCCCTCCGATTGGCCGGGCGGGGGCGGGGTGGGCGGAGCTTCTAGGCCCCGCCCATCCAACCTCGCTCTCGGCGGCGGCCAGGTGCGAGCGCGCTCGTGAGCGTCCGCGCGCCCGCGGGGGGAGGGGCCGATGCCGGGACGTTGCCGCGGCGGGCGTATCAGCTTGTGGGCTGGGGGCCGCGCAGGACCGAGAGCCCGGACTCTCCGAGCCCTTGAGCATGGGAAAACCGAGGCCCAGAGAGGGAAGGGCCGGGCCGGGACCCCGCAGCGAATCACACCAAGGCCAGGACTCGAACCGCGGGCTCCCTAAGGCTGGGATGGGCGGGACGCGCCGCGTCTGACTGCGGCCTGACCCCTTGCTCCCCGCGCCCGGTGGGGCTGCAGGCGAGGGGCCTGGTGCGAGGGGTGTGGATGCTCCGTGTTATCCGGCTCCGCAGTGCTCAGAATGCACCCACGAACGCGCCTGGCGCTCCGGCCCCGGGACAGCTGACCGCCCTCCACCCCACGTCTCTTTGCGCCTCCCCGCGCCTTGCTCCCTAGGTCAGCGGGCCTTCCGAGACCGGTCTCCGGTCTCCGCTCATCAGCCTTGGCTCCTCGCCCAGGCGCACTTGCGCCCGAACTAGACTGCTTTGTCCACCCGTGCCAGCAACCTTCGCGGCTCCAGCGTCCCAGGGCAGGGTCCAGCCCTCCTCTCCAGGCTCCAGGTCTGTCCTTACAGCCTCGTCTCCCGCGACACCCTTTCCTCTGGCCCGCGTGCCTGAGTGACGGAGCGCTGGGCAGGACCACCCCTGTGTCCAGAGCCTAGCGCGCGGCATGGAGCAGGCCCGAGGAAAGGCTGACCAGCAGGCAGACGTCCTTCTGTGCCCTCCACACCGCGCCAGCCACTCGAACCTCAGAAAGATGAGTCTGTGTCCCGTGCACTCCACCGCACGGCCGACTCGTCCGCAAGCACCCAGAACGCGGAGGTCTGTTTATGGCCTCAAACACCAAAGGTCCATGAACCACCTTGGGAAGGGCCCTGCTCCTGGGAGAGGCAACAGTCGGTGGTCAGGGTCCCTCTGTAGGCTGTCTGCCCCTCTGTGAGGCTCCAGGCTGCTGGGTGGGGCTGGGTGCAAAGAGGGAGGAGGCCAGGCAGAAACCACGGTCCTCGGGAGCCGCCCTGTTCTTCGGGGTGGTGGTGTGTGTGCACGCGTGTGTGTTAGTGGCTGAGAGTGTAGACTTTCTGGTGAGACACTGCCTCTGACATGCCCGCACAGTGCGACCTTAGACCAGCTACACCTTACTGTATCTCACTCTGCCCATCTCGGTAGGCGGGGGTTACCATAATAGTAGTGCCCACCTCCTGGGACTTGGGGAGCGCAGATGTGACCTACGAAAAGCTCCTAGCACAGCTTGTGGAACGTGGTAGCTGTCCCATTAACAGCAGTTTTCTGTAGTTGTGCTGTCCTGAGTGAACAGGCTTTGAGCACAGGTGTGCCGGTGGGGGGAAGGGTCACCCAGGGATCCTTGAATTCATACGCACAGGGCATCAACCACTACCGCCATCCCTTCTGGAGCAGGGTTTGGACAGGAAAGGAAGCTCTAGGTAACGGGAGACCCTAGGCAGGAACCCAGAGACCCGGGCTCTATTTCCAGCTCTGCTTCTGACTCCCTGTGTGGCCCTAGGGACTTGCACCCCTTCCTGGGCCTCAGTTTCCCCACCTGCAACCGGAGAAGGGTTGGATTCCCTGACCCCAGGACGGCGTCCAAGCTCTGACATGTTCGTGTTCATGAGGCATGAAGAGGCCCACTAGGTTGTGAAGGGGCTGCTGTCTGTCGCCGGCCCACTAGGCCAGGCGGGGGACAGGCCTTGCCAGGCAGGGAGCTGCAGAGAAATGCCACCTGGGGTGAACTGATCAAATGAGGACTCTCTCCTTGGCCACTGGGTCCCCACCCTTGCCTGTAGGACGCGTGCACACAGACAGTGGCAGCCGCCCCACCTTCCCATCACAGTCCCCTCTGTCCTCCAGGCAGGCAGGCACCCATTGGAGACTAGGCTGGTCAGAGGCTCCCCACAGAGGCTCTCCCGTCAGTCCTGCTCCTCCCTGCCACCCTGCTGCAAACACCTGGCATCAAGCCCTATCTACTGGCATCTAGACCGAGGGGGTGTTCGTAAGTGCCCTGCCTGCTCTGACCTCCTCCACGCCCAAACCCTCCCACTCACAGCCATAATTAGGTCACACATACGCATTCCTGCCCTGCAAAGCTTCTCTGCTCCTCCCTCTCTCCCAGACTACAGCTCACAAGGGGCCCTTCAGGAGGCACCATTGATGGGGACGTAGGAACTTAGGGTGCTGGAAGATGCTCGCAGTGTTCGGAGAGGCACGTGTGCCTGGGCAGGGTGTCTGGAATCTGCTTTAAACAGCTCAGCAGAAGGGAGAGAGCGGGCGGCAGGCAGAGCCAGCCGCAGCACACACACACGGCAAATTCCTGACAGTCGTTAAACATGGGTGACGGGTGTGAGACACGTTGTATCTTTCCCTCCACTTTGTATGTTTGAACGAACTATTTTATATTGAAATGATCAAGCACTTTCTAAAGGAAATAAAGAGGCCACTTCGGAAGAAAAGTCTGTGTACATTCATGTTTGCCTAAAGGAATTCTTGAAGGATCCACAGACTACGAATACAGCCATGATTAGAGATGAGCCTAAGAGCTGCGGAGACGAGAGACAGAATTTGGAGTGGTGCTTCGCAATACTACTTTTTAGGAGTGGACTTTATTCCTAAAACCATTTTCAGATTTACAGAAAAACTGCAAAGATGATACAGAGTTCCAGTACTACCTGTCCCTGCCCTGTTCCCTATTGTTAACATCTCCCACTAACTGGTACACTCGTTACCACTAATGAATACTGAGCCACTGTTACCCTGTTGGCCAAAAAGTCTGATACGCTTCTTCCGTGAAATAAAAAACATGCTTTTCATTCTCACCAGCAACTTCACTGATGTGGGTGTTTCGAGCATGTCGGCTCTCCCCTGCTGCTGGGTTCTAGTGGGGACAAGCCAGGGGCGCTGCTAAACACCTTCCAGTGTGTAAGAGAGCCCCACGGCAAAGGATTATTTGGCCGAAATGTCAATAGTATCAAGAAACGTCGCAAACCGCTTCTGACACATTTGATCAGTCGCAGAACCTTCTCCCTACACTGCACAATCTTTTTATGCATTTCAGTTGCATTTTCACCTACCTTTCTTGAAATAAGAAAGCATAGTATACCAGAAATGTTGCATATCTTCTTCCATCTTCAATATTAAAATGGCTGCACAAAAATTTACCAATTTTGTTTTTTTTTTAATGCACGCTGTTATGACAGCTGTCACAATGCACTCCAACAAAATTGTTTTGAATGACATTAAAGACAGCTAAGCACTGCTGGAGCCATTGTATGGAAAAAAAAACATAATGGATTTTTTGGCCAGCCCAGTACAAAGTCAAGTTTATAGTTTACTCAGATTCCCATACTTTCACTCGGCATCCTTTGTTCCAGGGTCTGGCCTAGGACATCACATCACACTCAGCGGGCGGGCCCCTTCCGCCCCTCAGGGCTGTCCCACTTTCCCAGACCTCCTTCGGTTTCTAGGCCCTGGACCGCTCTGAGGAGCACTCTGGGTGTTTTGGACAATGTTCCTCACTTGAGACTTGCCCCGTGTTTTTGTCAGGACTAGGCTGAGGTGGTGGGTGGTTCTGTCGCGTTTTGTTTTTGGAATACAACAGAGGAAAATGCTATTCTCGTCCCATCCCACGAAGGGCATGCTCAACCAGATGTGTCACTGCTGCTGTTGACCTTGATCACCCGGTCACTCTTTGGGCCTGCATTTGATTTTGAACCGGGCGAATATAGTCTTAGAGTTAAAATTTAAAAATGTAAGAACTATGTTAGTCTTCCAGCGCTGCCATGACACAAAAGATTAAAGGCTGGGCGGCTTCAACAACAGAGTTTATCTTCTCAGAGCTCTGCAGGCTGGAGTCCCAGGTCAAGGTGCCGGCAGTCCTGGGTTCCTCTGCGGCTTCTCTCCTTGGCTCGAGGGTGGCCACCCTCTTGCAGGCTCTTCATGGGGTCTTCTCTCCTCGTGCACCTCCCTTGTGTCCGTCTCTCTTTGTAAGAACACCAGGCATCCTGGAGTAAGGCACACCCATATGACCTTTGTCTGACCTCAGTTACCTCTTCAGAGGCCCCATTTCCAAAAGCAGTCACCTGCAGGGGTACAGTAAGGGGGTTAGGACTTCAACACAGGGATCTTGTAGGGGACACAATTCAGTCCACAACAAGACCCTTTGTAGCGGGGGACCAATCTACCTTTTCAAGTTCTTCTCCCGCGCCCCCCGCATCCCACACCTAGATCTTACACCCCAGTCATCCAAAGCCTGGCCATTCCCTCGTCCTTGTCACTCGCCTCCCTGTGCCTGAAAACACTGTCGTCTTCCTCAAGAAGTGCTGCCCTGTTCCTGTCACAATTCAGATCCTTCCTCTTCTTCAAAGGTTTCCCAGACCACCCCCCCACCCCCCCCACCCCCCGCCCAGGACTCATCTCTACTGCCTTCTTCCAGGCTGCTGAGTCCTGGGTCACTCGTCACAACTGCCACCTTAGAACTGGCACCACACCTGTCTGCCCCAGGGGCCAGCAAGCCTGCCCAGGTGTCCACTGAGTTTCTCCTGTGTTCCCAGCACCCGCCAAGGCCCTGGCCATACAACTTCAAGCGATGTAGACAAGGTCCCTGTGCTCATGGAGCTTGTATTCTGGTCGGGGGGAAAGGTGATAAACAAAACACAAAGAAAATAACTTCAGACAGTGGCAAGTGTATTAAAAAAATAATAAAGCCATATAATATGACAGAGACAGCTGCTTTGGCCAAAGGGTAACATTTGAGTTGGGACTGCATAGGCAGCAGCTGTGCGTGGGTGTGTGTCCGGGAGGGGGAGGGACAGTGGGCTCACAGGCAGGGCAGGGAAAGAGCGCAGGGAGGGGAGGCCTGGGCTGGGCGTGGCTGTGAGCCACAATCAGTCTGGATATTACTCTGGCAGTTTTCCAGGGGAGGGGAGAGAGCTGATCTGTTTTCCAGTGCCCAGTCGGCACCATGGGGAGGCTGGCGGGCACCACGAGGAAGGAGAAGGGAGGCCCTTTAGGAGTGGAGGTGGTGAGTGTGGGGAAGGGGTCCCATTTAGGTTGTGCTTCGAAGGATGAGACTTGGGGAGAAGGGAAAGGAAAAACCCAGAATGGCCCCCAGGATTCTGCCCAGGGCTGGAGGAGTGGGGTGTGGCCCAGGCTGCCGGCGCCCACACAGCCCCCTGCATGCCTAGAGAGCTAGCGACACGCCCAGTGTGGATGGCCTGCTTCACCTGGCCTGCCTGCAGAGGGACAGGACCTCCCTTCTCCGTCCGGTCTGGGCCCCTGCCCCATCCTACTGTCCATCATCCAGGGCTCTGGCCGGACATTGGCCACACCCAGGGCCTCTCTGCCCACCGCCCCCAGCTGCTTTCCCTCCCCCTCCTCCTCAGCCAGCGTCACCTTGGCCCCATCACTCCAGTCTCCCTACAGACCGAAGGATGTTTCTAAAGTGCAAATCAGACATGGCCATGGCCCTAGTGGGACCCCCACGTGGCTCCCCACAGCTCTCAGGGGTAGGGGCCAGGTAGTTAGACCCCTGGGGCTTAGGCCTCCTGCTCCCCAGCCCCAGGCCTCCCATCCCTGCCAGACAGCCCTCCACCCCACAATCCCAACACTCCCTTTTCCCTGAGTGTGGGGGTGGGGACAGCGGGGACGCAGGCTCCTGTTCCACCCCCGCAGTTCCCGGGAAACCTGTTTCCCCAAGCGTTGGCTGCGAACCAGTTGCGGTTCCATTAGCTCCTCTGGGGCATTAAGTAATAATTTTGTACTCAGGGTTGGAGAAGAACTTGATGTGAATGAACACAGCCAGCGATCTGCTCTTCGAGTTCTGGTCGGCCACGCCGCCCAGAGTCCCTGGCGGCCCGCACGCAGTCGTCCCACGCTCACTGAGCTCTGGCTCGGTGCCGCCTCCGGAGGAAATGGCTGCTGAAAACCGAGCGACCGGCAAGGGCCTGGGGCGCCGCGGGCGCCCGGTGCAGGGTCGCAGCCCGGCGGTGCGCGCAGCCTGTGGAGGAGGGGCGGTGTGGCCTGGACGCAGCAGGGCTCAGCTCACCCCGCGGGGACGCCCTGAGGCAGGTCTCTGAAGCCCAACTAGGTCTCGTCTCGTGCCCCGGCCTTCGCTCCATGGCCAGGACTCGAACTTGTGCAGCATGAGCAAGGCCACGGTGTTGGTGCCTAGCGCGCTCCTTCCTGTCCCGGGCGGTCACGCCGGCTCCGGGCGCCTCCGGCCCCGCCCCTTTTGGGCGGGGCGTGTTGTGTGGGGGCGGGGCTTTTAGCCTTGGGAGAATCTGCGGCACACACAGACCGCAGTCTGGTCTGCGGCCGAAACCTCAGGCTCCCCTCCCCCGAGGATCCGCCTTGGGGCCTGGGGGCGGGGTGGGGGGAGGGCGTGGAGACTTGCCTGTGCTGGGTCAGGACGCGCATTGATTCGTCGGTTTCTGACCTTTACTGTGACCTCAGTGCCAGACTTGGAGGTCGCAGACCCTGCCCGCAGAGAGCTTGTTGGGGGTCGTGGCAGAACGCGACCCAGCCTCAGGTCGTGTGTTCTTCCCACGCATCCTACCCCAGGCACCCCCTCCCTACGCCCTGCCGCAGCGCGTTTTCTCCAATGTCCCGCCCAGCTGCTGTGCAGGGTCCCAATCTGCGCCCCTCCCCCAGCGCTCGGACACTTCAGGTGCTTCCAGTTTCCGCCATTGTTCATGCCGCTGTCACATCATTCAGGGTCCTGCGGGAAAACAGATGGCTTCCGCAAATTGGGGAAATTCCGGGAGGGTTGTTTTCAAAGCAGGACTGCCTACAGAGGGGGCGGGGTGGGGGGCAGGGGAGCCGTAGGGAGAGCGCAGGACTCCAGGACCAGCACAGGTGACGCAGTTACCACCGCCAGGGCTGGAGGCAGGTGAGAGAGGAAGCCACCAGCCAACCATAGAAGAGTCACCAGGAGGTGGCCCGACCCTGACAGCAATAGCTTTCGGTCAAGTGACACAGGCTGTCCAAGGCCACCCCACAGGGAGAAGCCAGATCTATTTTCTGACCTCCCACGGGGCACCTCTCTGTGCAAACCCCCCGGGGTGCGGAGGACTAGGAAGTGTGGAGGCAGTGCGCGAACAGGGGCCTGCGCAGGCGCAGAGCCAAGATTCAGACTCCGTTCTGACTCTGCACACGCCTTGCGTTCTTTTATGAGTTCAGCGTCCATTCTGCAATAACTAATTCATATTTTGTAACAAGAGGTTAGCAAACAAAACGTGTTTCCACATAGCATTGTATCTGGGACCGTGGGCTGTGGAGTTAGACAACCTGCTACTTAGTTCTAGAGCCTGGGTAATTTTGGGCAAGTTACACGACTTTCCGCTGCCTCAGTCTGCTCATCCCTATTATGGGGGTTATTTACAGGGCCGACCTCAAAGGTTTTTGTCTGGATGGTATAAAATGATAGGTGTGGTACCCAGAGAATGCCACACAGCCATTTGCTGTTACCCTGCACTGGGTGAGGCACTGCTACCAGGCGGGGAGGGTCCCGGGTCTCCAGAGACACGTGGTCACCCGATGACCTGCAGCCTTGGGTGCCCAGGCAGGCCAGCCTGCCCTTGAAACTCCCCTCCAGCTGAAGGGCGGCGTGTTCTCTCCTTGGCTCATCCCCCGCCGCCTCCTCCGCACAGACGCTCGGGCAGGGACACAAGCTGGAACAGGGAGCTCTGTTCTCGCGGAAAACAAAGAAGGCGGCCGGCGGTGGGGCCGGCTCCCTTGGTGCTTGGAGATAGTGTGACTGCTGCCGTTTGTCCTGGGGTGCCTGAGGCGCTCCTGGACAAATCCAGGACACTGCTCCCAGGCGAACGAGGGTGATGCCAGAATGCCTCCTAGGGACTCGGGAGGGAAACCGTCCGTCTCTGAGCTTGCCTGCTTCACCAGGCGGGCGGCTCAGCCGCGTGAGTGGGAAGGAGCTGCCTGGGCCATCTGGAGCCTGCGGGCGGATGCTGGTCTGGAACGCTGGGTCTGTCTGGGCCAGGAGGGGGGATTCACGCGCAGTCACGTTCTCACAGGCACGCTGGTGCGGGGGGCAGCGCAGCCCTTGCTTCTGATCTCCTCCACGTGCGACGTGGGGCTGGGGGGGGTCAGAGAGGCCTGCTCCACATTCCAGCTGAAACCAAACAGGCAGAAATAACTCTGCACAGACAGAGTGCCTGGCTCTCTCCGTGTTTAAAATTCATTCTCGTTTTTTTTTAAAGATTTTATTTATTTATTTTTTTAGAGAGGGAAGGGAGGGAGATAGAGATAGAGATAGAGATAGAGAGAGAGAGAGAGAGAGAGAGAGAAACATCAATGTGTGGTTGCTGGGGGAATCTGGCCTGCAACCCAGGAATGTACCCTGGCTGAGAATTGAACCTGGGACACTTTGGTTCCCAGCCTGCGCTCAATCCACTGAGCTACGCCAGCCAGGGCTTTCATTCTCATTTTTATCAAAATCACCCACAGACTTGACTCCTATCCAGACAGTATGCAAAGGCTCCTGACGAGGCAGCGGGCCCAGGCCTGTCTCGGCGCCACCCCCGCGCCAGCCTCTTCCAGTTTCCACGTTTGCGTGGTGTGTGCACGTGTGTTATCTTCCCGTGCGTAAGCGGTGCCCTTACACCGCTGCATCTTGAGTTTTCGACTGCAGACATCACGACTGACAGTGGCAGCCTTACACGCCCTCTCCTGACACATCTTTTCCCTTTTCACACACACTCATGTCTGCCTCTGGTCTAGACAGCGTGTAGGATCCACTGTTGTGCCCGCGTGAACACCGCTCACGGCTGAGCCAAGGAGCGTGCAGACCGGCCTGCCGCAGCAGGTGTGTTTGAGCGAAAACCAGCTCCCAGGTGACTGGTGGGCAGGGGTGAGCTGGCAATCGAACCCAGAAGTCGAGTTATTTGTGACAGTCTTCCCGGGGCTGCTCACGGAAGCCACCGGGGCAGGCAGCCCCACTGCTAAAAACAGGGCTTTAACACCACATGAAGGCCTTAAAAATAGGCAAGCTCGAAAGTGCCAAGGAAAAGCTTTCCCTCAGGGCACCGTTAGTGTGGTGTCGAACCACTCCCTCCCCCGCAACCCCGTCCGATCTTCCTGGGGAAGCTGAGCCGGCGGATGAGGGGCCTGCAAAGACATTCCCTCGATTGGAACGATCTGTTCGCTTTTTATTGCATCGTTAGAGAAGGCTCCCTCCAGACTGTACTTCTACTGGTGACGAAGCGGGTCTCTTTCAGGGGCGAGCCTCTTCAAGGGTCACCCTCTCCCGGGAGGAAGCTGCAGCCTGAAGGCCAAGGCTGCTGAGGAGGGAGCAGCTGTGACTTCAGGTGCCAGTGCCCGAGGGGAAGTGCCTGTTTGCTCCTGTGTTAGGATCCTTGTTGTTTTCCGTCAGGCTCCAGCTGCAACGTTCTGAGATGCAAGACACTACGATCTCATAAAGGACTTGTATCCAGAATGCGTAAAGAGCTCTTATAACTCAGCAGGAAGACAAACAACCCCATAAAAGTGAGCAAAAGACTTGAAGAGACACTCCAGCAGAGACACGGATGACCTACAAGCACATGAAAGGGTCATTAGTCACCGTCAGCAAGACAGCGTCACACACCTGCGGAACAGCGGATGGGAAGAGGGCTGAGGCGCCCGAAAGCCCCACCCCACTGGTGGGAGTACACCCGGCTCGGCCCCTTTGGGATGCAATGTGGTATTTTCTTTAAAAAAAATTTTTTATTGTTGTTCAAGTACAGTTTTCTGCCTTTTCCCCCCACCCCTCCCCCCTTTTTTTCCTTTCAAAAAAACTCCTCACCCAACAATTCTGAGAGAGAGAAGAAGGGAGGCAAAGAAATACTGATGCAAAACAGAAGCATTCATCAGTTGCCTCCTGTGTGTGCCCAGGCCGGGGATCGAACCCCCAACCCAGGAATGCGCCCTGACCGGCGGGGGACACGAACCCGCATCCTTTTGGTGTACGGGATGATGCTTCCACCGACTGAGCCTCACCAGCCAGGGCTCTTGGAGTTTTTCTTAAAATTCTCTGTGATAACGTAATGTCTTCTGTTTTCTATTGTTTTGTTGTTGCTTTTGCTTTTGTAGAGTCCCTGGCGTTCAGATGTGGGACCTCTGTTTGGTCTTTTCACTTTCTTTCCTCTCCCTTGTTTCTCCGTCTGTGTTCTGGAAGATGCCCTCGGTTTGGGGAAAGGGTCACAAGGTGACCTGATCTGCGCTCACGTTTTACCTGCTGTTGACGTGCCCACGGGCCCCAGCGCCACATCTCCAGCCCGGACTTCCCCCCGGCTCCATGCCCCGCTGTCCGACCGCCCTCTCAGCGTCTCTTTGCGCATCTCATAGGCTTCTCGGCTTAACAAAAACCCACCAAAGTCCTGGCTTCTAGCTCCCTGTGGTAGGCCGAGTCACAGCCCCTCAAAAGACAACCGCATCCTAATCCACAGAACCTATGGCTGTTACTTTATGTGGCAAAAAAGAAAAGACTTGCAGGTGTGATTCGGTTCAGGGGCTTGAGACAGGGAGATAATCCTGGATTACCCAGGTGGGTGGTACATGTAATCCTAAGAGTCCTTACCGAAAGGGAGGCCGGCCCTGGCTGGTGTGGCTCAGTGGACTGAGCGCCAGCCTGTGGACTCAAGGGGCGCCGGTTCAATTCCCAGGCAGGCCTCATGTCTGGGTTGCAGGCCAGGTTCCCGGCGGGCTGATACACGTTTCTCTTTACACACCCGATGTCTCTCTCCCTCCCTTCCTCCCTCCCTTCCCCTCTCTCTAAAAGTAAATGAATAAAATCTTAAAAAATAAAATAAAATCAGTAAGATCGTCTCTCTCCCCTCGAAAACTCCCACTGGCTCTCCATCTCACCCAGCAGGAGCGCCAGGCCCCCTCCGCAGCCCGCAGTTCCGACGCAGCTACCACCGCCCGTCCCCTCTCTCCTCTCCCGCAGCGGCTCCCCACCCGCCCACGTGGCCAAAAAGGGGGCGCATAGGAAGGACCCTCACAGGCCAACCTGACGTAAACCCCTACCTGGGCAGGTCGCGCCGGGCAGCCACGCCCAGGCCTGTGCCTTTTCAGCGCCCAGGGTTTAAGCCAGCCCCGCCCCTTGTCCTTGTGCGCCCAGGTTAGCACACTTCTGAAACAAGTCGTGACCGCTCTCAGGAGAGCGGGTCTCGCCACCCGCCCGCCCCGCGATCCATCCCCGCCATGCTT